AAAAAACTGTAAATGCTTACAATTCAAATACACAGATGACTTTCCTGCCCAGAGAACACTGAGATCAATAACACTGTAACAAAAAACTCTTACTAGGATTCAGGAATTATTTTTGCAGCTCAATGTCTATTACAGTATACATAAATTAAATTACAGATACAGATGTATAATTCAGCAATGAACTTTTGGGAAAAATTTTTTTTCATTTTACTACTGTAAAGTAATCTTGTAGTAAATGAAAAGCACTAGAAAATTTCAAACACCAAAGAATTGTATGAATACAGTACAGTAAAAAATAAAACAAAAAAAAGTAAATTTAGCATCCTCTGCACATTTCGCCAAATTTCATACAGTACTATAGCAGTTTCTTGGTCTCCTGACACATGACTAGCTATATCGCTAGGCAGTCATTTCTCAGTTCTGTAAAAATGCAGTACATATAAAAAATGGTTACAAATTAAATTTGGCAGTCAGTCTGAGAAGGAGAGGAGGAAGAGTACATGTAAGAAGTGGAGGATGTGGAGGAATAGGATGAGGAGAGAAAGAGTAAGGTTTAGAGAGTGTTATCAAGGCTGGATCTGTCAGACCAGAGGGTTTTTTCTATTTGTCTAGCAAAAAAAGACAACATTACCGTATTGGCCCGAATATAAGATGACCCTGATTATAAGACGACTCCCCTTTTTCCAGATGTACCTTTTGGAAAAAGGCTTTTTAAAAACCAAATCTTGTTTTTTCTCAGTAAAACACATTTTGTCTTCAATTATTTTCATATTGCATATTTTTCCTATTTTAATTTTTGTTTTGAAAGTATGGTAAAAACTGGTAAAATGTACCAACAATCACATTTAAAAAATAAACACTTTTTGATATACCATTTAAAAAAAAAAATTCCCATCTGAATTAGGACATTTAGGCTATCCATCTAATAGTAGCCCACCAAAATCTTATTAACAGTAGAAGTAGAGTTGGTCCCATCAGGCTAACGTGACAGTCACGACTCATACAGCTGTAAGGTTTTCTTTTTCTTTTGTTATTACTCGCGATCTTTACAACACGCATTACATTACGTATTTAATGGCACACTTGTTTTATGCGTATTTGGCGCCACCTAGTGCTGTGGGTGTATTATTGACATGTCAAAGTCTAGACCCTGACACCGGTTGATTTTGAGTGCAAGTGAAATGGTTTTGCAGTGATTGTTTGATTTTGATGGAAGAGTCAGAGGTTTCGTGAATTTAGTTTGAGTATTTGGATTTGTGTTTAAGGTTTTGAGAAAATGAGTGATGGTTTCAAGAAATGTGTTTTAGCAATTCAGAAAAACTGTAATGGGAAGTAGCAAAATCTGACAGGGTAGCACAAATCGACAGAACACCGCCCCTGACAACCAAATAAAGAAACGCACTGCAAATAGAAAAAGGTGCAAATGCTCACAACACAACCCAATAAAGAAACGCACTGCAAATACTCACAACGCAACCAAACAAAGAAACGCGCTGCAAATACAATTCTTTATTTGGTTGTGTTGTGAGCATTTGCAGTGTGTTTCTTTACTTGTTTGCGTTGTGAGAATTTGCAGCACCTGCTGTCAAACTGATAAAGATGTTTTCTTGATTTAGGTGCTTTTTCTATTTGCATGTGTTTTCTGAAGTTGCAGCACGCTGAGCCCTCTCGGCCACCGTAGATGAGTGGATGAATTGTCCAAATACGTTTTGTGTGCATTGTATCCTGTCAACAGTTTACAGAAATGCATGCTTTTCTGAAAAGGCACTACATAAGTTAATATGCATTTATATAGTATATGTTAAGTTATTCAATCATTTATACTGAACTATTGGGAAAAGATTAGATGTAGAAGTATTTCTTATCCTGTGGCTCCTAACATTAGTATTACAGATTTCATATCTGTTATAGCCTTCTGAGCAACAGAAATTCATGAAGCTTATGTTTCTTCAGAATATTTCATTCTCTACAAAGGCTCGAGAAGTTTGGACACACAAATTTGCACACAATTTATATTAGTCATAATGGGCCAAAATAAAATGGTAACACTTTACAATACAGGTGCACAAATATGAATTAATTCATGCTTAACTATATGCACAGATAATCACAAGTTAATGGTTAACTCATGAAGAAACAAACCATTTATTAATGATTACTACATCAACAACTAATGAACATTCTATATGATTCATAGATAAAGTAATAAATAAATTGTTATTAGTTAAATGTGTCATAACGTGTTAGTCCCCTAATAACATATTATATTAACTAATGATGTAAATTCATATATTAAATACCACAGTGGTCAAAGTTATGTACTCTAACTTCCAGTTGTCTGCTTTAATTAATCATTAGCTAATGATTTGCAAAGGTATCATTATGTTATGACTTTACTTGTTGAGGCACAGAACTAGTAACTAATTGTTAGGTAACATGTCATTGTGGTTATGGATTTTGCATTAGTTAGTTAGTCATGTGCCTCAACAAGTAAAGTCATAACATAATGATATATTTGCCAATCATTAGCTAATGATTAAAGCAGACAACTGGAAGTTGAAATACACGGCGTGGACCCATTGTGGTAATTAACACATATATTTACACTATTAGTTGATATAATATGTTATTAGGGAATTAATACACGATGACACATTTAACTAATAACAATTTATTGATTACTTAATCTATGAATCATATAGAATGTTCAGTTGTTGCTGAAGCAGTAATTATTAGTTCTTCATGAATTATAAATTAACTCATGATTATCTGTGTATTAGTTAAAGGGGTGGTTGATTGCGATTTCACTTTTTTAACGTTAGTTAGTGTGTAATGTTGATTTTTGAGCATAAACAATATCTGCAAAGTTACGAAGCTGAAAGTTCAATGCAAACGGAGATATCGTCTTTTAAAATTCTGTCAGTTTAATGCCTACAAAAACCACGGTAGGGACTACAACAAGTTACTTCCCAGGTTCGTGACATCACAAACCCAGATAAACCCCGCCCTCGGGAAACTCTACACACGCTCTGCATCTCTCTCTCTCTCTCTCTCTCTCTCATTCAGCTCAGCTCCAACAATGAACTGTTCCAATTATACACTTATTTTCACATAGCTATGAGAAGTGTTAAACATGGGCGCGTGTGCGGTTGCCGTACTGTGTTAATGCTTTAATCAGGATAAAACCATATATTAAAAGCTAACAAAAGCAGTAGCATTTACAAATAACAGCATATCTAAAAGTATGAGACAACAACAAACAAAAAACATACCATTAAGGGCCGTGCTTGCATAGGTTCTGCACTATCCTCTTCAATAATATCCTCTGCTTCTCAATCGGGCTCAAGCTGATAAGCGATATTAACGATGCCGCTGTTTACAATACAACCGGAGCACATACCGCTGAGGTGAGGGGTGGGACGTTTAGACGCGCACTAGAGGCGGTTTAGCCAATCACAACACACTGGGCCAGCTAACCAAATTAAAAGCCGTGCTTGCACAGGTTCTGCATGATCCTCTTCAATAATATCCTCTGCTTCTCAATCGGGCTCAAACTGATAAGCGATATTAACGACGCCGTTGTTTACAATACAACCGGAGCACATGCCGCTGAGGTGAGGGGCGAGATGTTTAGATGCGCACTAGAGGCGGTTTAGCCAATCACAATACACTGGGCTAGCTAACCAATCAGAGCCCATCGCCTATTTCTGAGGGCGGGGCTTCATAAAAGCAGGAAATGATCAGCACGTTTCTCAGAGAAGAGACAGAGCGGTGTGGAATAAATGTGTTTTTTTTTTAAACGAAGCATTAACACATGTTAGAAACGCAATAAAGCCTAGAAAAAAACAGTGAACCACCCCTTTAAGCATGAATTAATGCATATTAGTGCCACCATATTGTAAAGTGTTACAAAAAAATAATAAAAAAATAAAATAAAATAAAAATAATAATAATGAAAGCTGTAAAAGTCGAATTAAGCTGTTTGCTTAAAAACATTGATATTACCATTTCAAGATATATAATGTAGCTTTTCAGCAGAGAAGGGCCTTGTCCCAAATGGCACCCTAAACCCTCGCGGTCTTCCTCTGAGCCCGCACTTTCGTGACGTAATGCCGCTTTGGCTGTCGGGTAGAAGTCTGCTGCGGAGCTCACCCCAGTGCGGGCTCGGCAGAAGTGCGGATCGAAGGCGCATAGCGGCCGCAAAGGGGGCGCTCGCGAGAACCTTTCTGAATGCTAAAATGACAAATGGGACACCCTACCGTCTCGTGGACTTAACAGACACGTGCACGCGGCGGCCATTGTAAGTCCAGAAGACCGCAAGTACACATGAAGTGTTCCATTTTGGACAGGGCCAAGCTGTTACATTGGTAAAGCTCCCGGGTGTCACGATCTGCCTATTGTGTAGGAGCGCGAGCGTAGGAGCGAGGAGATGCGGAGACGTGGGAGAATCTTCAAAGAGTTTTTAATAAACAAAACCAGGGTTACACACATAGGACATGGAGATGACGTTTAAGACTGGACGCAGGACTCAGGAAAACACAGGCCTTAAATACAGGAACTAAACGAGGGAATTGACAAGAAACACCTGAAATCAATGGACACAATCAAAGATCAGAGAACCTGGTTCATGGGGAGCACATGGGGAGCAAAACACAAGACACGGAACACAAGGCAGTCCAAGGGCGTGACATTACCTCCCCCTCCCGGAAGGCGCGTCCACGTGCCTCATAACTTCCAATGGGGACTCCTATATGGGATGGACGGCCTCCAGGGCGATACCCGTTCCGGGAACCATGGCAGATCAGGCAGTTCCGGGAGCCATGGTGGAGCAGAAAACTCAGGGGGCCATGGCAGAGCAGACAGTTCAGGAGGCCATGGCGGAGCAGACAGTTCAGGGGGCCATGGCGGAGCAGACAGTTCAGGGGCCCATGGTGGAGCGGCCTCCATGGCCTTGGCCTCGGCACTCGGCCCGGCCCGGGGAAATTTTGGGTTCTGAGGCCCTCCGTGGGCTTGACTTGGGAACAGGGGCCCTCTCTGGGCTGGACTTGGGAACGGGAGCACTTTCTGGGCTGGACGTGGGAACAGGAGCCCTTCCTGGGCTGGACGTGGGAACAGAAGCCCTCTCTGGGCTTAACTTGGGAACAGGAGCCGTCTCTGGGCTGGACGTGGCAACAGGAGCCCCCTCTGGGCTTAACTTGGGAACAGGAGCCCTCTCTGGGCTTGACTTGGGGACTGGAGCCGACACTGGAGCGGACTCAGGGGCTGGAGCCAACACTGGAATGAACTCAGGGGCTGGAGCCGATACTGGAGCGAACTCAGGGGCTGGAGCCAACAGTTTTTTTCTCTGAATTCTCCTCCTTTGAGCAGAGGTGAAGGAGACAGCTGCTGTCAGCGGAGGGCTTGGGAGTGAATTGGCCAACGGGCTCGACAATGGAATGGCCGGCAGACTTGAGAGTGCAGCGGCCGGCGGCGGGCTGGTTCTGAATCGGGGCCGGACACTCTCCAGACACCGGAGGATCCCTTCCCTCCAGCTCAGTCCAGTGGTGTCTAGGAGGTCGACGGGGCGATGGTAGATGGCCCCGATCATGGACAGCACTGTAACAACAGTGGAGTCATTCAGGTTCCTGGGCACCAGAATCTCTCAGGACCTGAAGTGGGACACTCACATTGAGTCCATTGTTAAAAAGGCCCAGCAGAGGCTGTATTTCCTTCGCCAAATGTGGAACACACAACACTATTATACATTTATTTATTTAACACACATACTTTTTTTACATTTCAAATTTGCACATATCATACCTGTTCATACATAATTGTCTATATTATATATTGCGTTTTTGCTATTTTGTACAATTTTGTATATTTGTATATTATTCTTTTTATTATCTATGTCCTGTCTTGTCACTGTCATTCTGTTGCACTGTGGAGCTTCTGTCACTAAAACAAATTCCTCGTATGTGTAAACATACCTGGCAATAAAGCTCATTCTGATTCTGATTGCAACAACATTGGTGTGTTTGTCATAACAATAAACTGAAAACTGAAAGTAAAAGAACCGTCACAGTCAGAGAGAGACTGCGCTGTCAAACGTTCCCTATAGCTAAGTACAAAAGCTAATATATCTTGTCTTTGTGATTAGAGTTCACTGTTGGGAGGACTTCACAGGTTTTATCTTACAGTGTCATTACAGTAATTATACAGACCAAGATATACTAAATATCATGTAAAATATGTGTAACGATGACATTTTTATGGGAAGTTAGTGACATGACCGTGGAACAAACATTAAGCGCAACTAAGTTCAAATAAAAACTGAGGTTACTGGGTAAAACATACAAATTCAATGTCATGAATTATTCCATAATATTTGTTCATTAATGACTGAAGTTTTCCTGAAAACCTCTCTGGGCTGGCCGTGGGAACAGGAGCCCCCTCTGGGCTTAACTTGTAAACAGGAGCCCTCTCTGGGCTTGACTTGGGGACTGGTGCCGACACTGGAGCGGACTAAGGGGCTTGAGCCAACACTGGAGCGAACTCAGGGGCTGGAGACGATACTGGAGCGAACTCAGGGGCTGGAGCCAACAGTCTTTTTCTCCGCATTCTCCTCCTTTGAGCAGAGGTGAAGGAGACAGCTGCTGTCAGCGGAGGGCTTGGGAGTGAATTGGCCAGCAGGCTCGACAATGGAATGGCCAGCGGGCTCGACAGCAGACTTCAAAACAGAAGAAACTGATGTTTATTTGACAACAGAACTCAAGACACATTTATATAATATTAATATTAGTAATAGTTATGTATGTAATAATATGACTTTTATAGTCATATTATAGTATTTTAATAATTCCGATAATTATTAATAATTCATTCTAATTTTATTCATAATTCATAATATCAAACAAATATCAATCAGAATAACTGGTTCCCATAACTGCTAATCAAGGTTATTGACATGAAAAACTAAAAGGAAATAAAAAAATGTACTTTTTAAAATTTCAGCAGCATCTTTCATTTTTGTTTACTTCAAGTCGAAGTACTAAATTAACTAAAACTAAATACACTACTACAACTAAAAAATAACATTTAATAAAAACTGTAGACATATAAAAAATAATAAAAATGACTAAACAAATTGATTAAAACTCAGAAGATAATCAGAAAATATTTTTAAAATATATTAAATTCAAAATATTAACCAAAACTAGTATATAAATGATACAAAAATCACTCTCCTATTAATCTCTATCGACTTGATAGTATTGAAATATTTTCAATATCTATTTCCTAATTATTTTAATAACATTTTTAAATGGGAATGCTGTTTTGCTTTGACAGAAGCTTTGAGATTAAATGAGTAAAGTCTGCAACAGATCCATGACACATTACCACAATTATACCAGTTAATATATGTTATTTCATGCTACAAACTTAGTCCAACTTCCACCAGAGATATTCAACAAAGAATGAAAAATACACCAAGCCTGATCTATTCAATGACTTCACAATATACATCTTTTATGACTATATGACCTTTTTAAATGATCATTGATGGAGAAACACAATATATGTGAAAGTTTCAGGGATTTTGATCAGCTACAAAAATCTGAAATGTTTTAAATAGTGCAGTGGTTGTTTGTGTTGATAGTGGTATTGTGGGATACTTACACATATACAGTGGGTACGGAAAGTATTCAGACCCCCTTAAATTTTTCACTCTTTGTTATATTGCAGCCATTTGCTAACACATGCAAAAGTTTTGTGCAAACTGTTTTCTTCTAAATGGCTCCTAACATCCAGTGAAAGCAGATGACACTGAAGGTTGAAGGAGATCCAGGCTATGGCAGCGTATCTGCTGGAGGTCGATTCACCGATCTGGACAGCTCAGAGACCGTACCTCTCCTTATCCCAGACATTCAGCAACAGCGGCACGTCTGGAAGCCCCTGAGCAGAGAAGAGCTGGAGAAGTGCGCAGGAGGACCAGAATGGAAGAAGTTTCGTTCTCGCCTGGTGCTTTGCTTCTGGATTGGTTGGCTGATAATGCTGGGCACTGTGATCGCAATAATCATTCAGAGCCCGCGGACGGAGTCTCCTTCACTGCACTGGTGGCAGAGGGATGTGTTCTTCATGGATGCAGACAGTGACAAGGTCAGCCGTATCAGCAGTGAGTTCATTTAAAACATCTACAATATTATTTCAGTATGTAGTCAGCAGTACATCAGCAGTATTATTGCAGTATGACAGCATCTACTGCTATCAAAACATTCAAACCGTTTATCCATCCATCCTAGAGCCTAAAATTACTCCCGCATGTCAAAGTCTAAGGCATTGTTTCCAGAAACCACAGCACAGGACATTTAACACAATGTCAACACTCTTAAAAAAAAAGGTTGTTTGACATTTTTGGTTCAGTGAAGATCTTTTAAAATCTGTCGAATCTGGACAAAAGATTCCTTATAGTAGAAAGGGGTTCTTTACACTATGTTCTTTTTTTCTCTTTTTAAGAACTGTTTTCTATTGCTTCTTTGGGGAACCAAAAGTAGTTCTTATGTGTACTGTACAAAAAAAAAAGAAAAGAAAAGTAAAACAACACAATGCAGTGTAAAATTCAAAATACAGTTAAAACACCTGTAAAAAATCAATATGGAAAATTATTTTATATTAATATAGTACATTGTGCCCTATTTTATGAAATGTTTATGGATTTTTTATGATAATTGTCATTATATATAAATCATATATATTTTGTTGTAACACACACACACACACACACATATATATATATATATATATATACAATGTAGATTTTTTATAATCTATATATGTTATGATTGTTTTCATTTTATTCAATTATTATTGAAAATAATAACCTATACAATTTCTCATGTCAGTCCGACATTCAAAATATTTTGAAGTTGAATATTACGGGGTTGAATATCAGTGCAAAAATGTCTAAAGCTTCAGCTGATAAATATCAGTGCCTTACACCACCTTATTCACTTGTGTTAAAAAATAAACATAAATGAAACAGGGCATGTTTTCATATTTTCATTTGAAATATAATTGTAATTTAATATATGAATTCTATATATGACATTAAATATTATATAAAGATTAACAATATATTTAATTTATAGTATATTATAATAAAGTATTTAGTACTACTGATATTCCCATTAATATTTAAAAAATAAAAAAGTTGTATTTAAATTTATATAAATTATATCAATAGTAGGACACACATACAGTAGCACACCAATGGCACGGTTTCCTGAGAGTGACCCACTAATACCTCAACTACTGATAATGTAAAAACAATAAAACCAACATGGTATAATTGTGAAGTGTTGTGCATATACATGTGGTGCAGTGATTGAATGTGATCAGCACAGAATTGACTGTACAGTTGGCCTAATACTTGTAAACAGCACTGAAATTTCAGTTGTGAAGCCCAACATGATGGTGTATGACTCTCATTCAGGGGTGAAGTCACTGGGGGTCAGGGCAGTGATCCTGGAGGGGTTGTTCCAACATGACATCTCCCCTCCCAACCTAACAGAGATCGACCAAAGTCTGGGCACTCTTCCACAATTCACACAGCTTATCACAGAAAGCCGCAAAGCAGGTATGTATACATTCATTATTTAAAAAAAAATGCACTTGATTTTATTTTGGTAGTTTTACTGGCATTCACTCTTTCATAAAATGAAAAGTTTTCATTAAATATTTTATCTGCATGTAGGTGGATCAGGATTTTGCTACCTTTGCCATTCACTAGATGGTGCTGTTTAGTCACATTGCATCAGTCTTCTCCACTCTCACTGCACACTGATCTCAAAGTAATTAGACGCTTAAGCCATGTCTGAAAATCATTGTATTAAAAAAAAAAGTGGCATGTGCAAACAAATGATGCAAATTTTTCATAGCCAATATTAACTAATTACTTTTAACCAACTGGCCTCAAGGTAATTTACAGTGGATATATGAAGGCAGTTCACCTCAAGTTCTCACAGTTCTCCTCATGTATAGCGTAAGTGTGGATGTTTCACATTCCTTTTTCTTTTTCCTTTTATATCTTTTGTGAAATGTTCTTGAAATGTGTGCTTGGCTTTTAATTTTGTTATCTCATGCCAACACCTTTTGGGGCTACTGTAAATCCCTTTGTGCTTGTTAAACAATGGTGAAAACAAACTGAAGTAGAATTTTTGCACATAAAAATATTAAAAAGATAGTTCACCCAAAAATGAAAATTACCCCATGATTTACTCACCCTCAAGCCACCCTAGGTGTATATGACTTTCTTCTTTCAGATGAAAACAGTCAAGAGTTAAATTAAAAAATGTCCTGGCTCTTCACTGCCAAGCTTTATAATGGCAGTCAATGGGGTTTAAGACATTGATTATACAAGTCCAATAAAGTGTATTCATCCATCATAAAAAAATTACTCCACACGGCTCAGGGGGAGTTAATAAAGGCCTTCTGAAGTGAAGTGGCGATGGAGCAGATGACGTAGGTGTACCGTAAGCTCCGGTGAGAATATGCTAGTCTTGCGGGAAACAAGTTTTGTTTACAGAAAAGGAAAACCAGTCTCCTTTCGGCTTATATCGAAATCCTCTGACATTTTTCTTTACAAAGCGTAAGCTCCGGTGAGAATATGCTAGTCTTGCGGGAAACAAGTTTTGTTTACAGCAAAGGAAAACCAGTCTCCTTTCGGCTTATATCGAAATCCTCTGACATTTTTCTTTACAAATCCTTATTTTGTACTTCTAATTCAGTGGTTTGTTTTGCTCTCTCTTCTGCACTTCCGTCATTACGTTTGCCTACATCATCCGCTGGAACGCCACGCTCTCGTGAACATGCATACGACGGTTAGCGGAAGCTAGAGATCAGGGTTTCTAAAGTTTTAAATATGGATATTTTTCTAACACAAATGCAGCGCTTCGCTTCAGAAGGCCTTTATTAACCCCGGGAGCCATGTTGATTACTTTTTATGATGGATGGACGCACTTCATTGGACTTCAAAATCTCAACACCCATTCACTGCCATTATAAAGCTTGGAAGGGCCAGGGCATTTGTTATATAACTCTTATTGTATTCATCTGAAAGAAGAAAGACATATACACCTTGGATGGCTTGAGGGTGAGTAAATCATGGGGTAATTTTCATTTTTGGGTGATTTATCCCTTTAAGCAATGTTAGGCTATGTTGGTTGTAATAAAGCAATAGTAACTGATCCAGTGAATTTGTATATGGTTCAGGTGTGAGAGCGATCCTGGACCTTTGTGAGCTGGATCTGTTTGAGCAGGAGTCGGGTAATGGCACTGATGTTTGGTCCAGTCCATCAGAGTACATTCAAGTAAGGAATATTACATATATACTGGATATTTATAATGCAAGATATCAGCAAGAGTGTGCATTATTTTTTCAACATATATAAAATTCACTGTATGTATCCAGCTGAAGTAAACACTAGTTTGGCAGTAAAACAGACAACAATTTTAATTCATTTTCACACAAATTACAATTACGGGGCAGATTATCAATTAATAATGACTTCTTTGTAAGGTTACTTGCACAAAAAACTATGAGTATTTTGACCTCAAAACACTTTTACCACAGTGCATGATTTCTAAACTAACACATTTAGATGTTTGCATTACACAACCAGCTCCATTTGTATGGCTTTTCTGATGTAGTAAACTTGCTCGTTAGCTCACCTGGTGCAACGCGGAGCGCTTGGCTACAAGTCTCATGAAACACAAGTCACAATAAAAAAGCTCAAAGACTTGTAGAAGCAAGCTAAAAAAAAAAAAAAAGCAAAGTTGCTTCTGTGTTTTTATCTCACGCTTGCTTTTTTAACACTATTAAGTTTAGAGTATGGGTTTAATGTAGGTGGTATGTTATTTTTAAATATGATGAATAAAAAATATGTTATTGTGGCAACTTGTCACTAGATAAACGACAGATTCATGTGATCAGGATTTTTGTTTTATGTCAATATTTCTGCCTACCTTTTGTTTATTATTGTTCATGTGGTATTATTTTCCACTCCAGTATTCATTAAGGCATTGGCTGGAGCATGGTGTATCAGGGTTTGGCATCTGTGACACAGACGCAACCTTATCTGCAAAGGTAAAACTGAAAACACACTGACATGTCTTGTTTTGTGGAAAATGTGTTTGGGTTTTTCTTGGAGACATGATATGGTGAGCCCATGCCCAGGATCTGCTTAAAAATTGATGTGTATTTATGATTCACAGACCCTAATGGAGTGTAGTGTGCTGATGCAAAAGTTGAATTCACAAGATGACGAAAGGTATCATGTTTGTCAGCTGAACTCAGACTGGCACTGAAGCAAAATCATTTCCTGCATGATAAAATCAAGTCTTGATGAAAAATGGAAGTAAAATAGATTATAAACATCATTTTATATTGAGATTAACTCCATATTCATTTTGAGCCCATGCACTGAACTTGACAACTGACTAATAATTATTACTATATAAACTTGCTTAAGTCTTGGCGACATAAATGAGGTCTGGTTATCTCGTTGTAGCATACTGATGGTGAGGCAAACAGGTAACACTCTTCCAGAACTCAATGTGTCAATGGTTAATGGTTCACTGGTGGAGCTGGTTGTAAAGTCACTGATCCCCCCCCCATTACACCATTCATTGTTTCCTGCTGAGGTGGCTGAGGCCATGGAGGCCAGTCTGCAGATGCCACAAGGACACTGGCCGAGCTGGACCGTGAGTGGACATTTCACTGAACTGAGTCTAATAGTTTATCGACAGCAAAATCCCCAAAGGATTTTATGAAATCATCAAATTAAAGCCATTATTCTAGCCATTAGACTGCTGAGCTAACATTCCAGCATTATAGCCTCTAGTCAGCAAGCCTGCTAAGCTAGTATGTTCAGTGCATGTTATGTTGTGTAATCGTATGGTGTTTGAGGGAGACTGAATTCTACAGGGGACTGAATCTTGCACAGTGATTCTTCTAATGATTCCAGAAACCTATGCTGGTTTGCTGGTCCTACCTAGTTTGTTGTCCAAAAGCATTGTTAGCCTACTATGAACACACGTTTCCGTCATTATCAACGTAGTTCAATGATTTGGTGTTTCCCGATAAACCATAATTGCAACAAAATTGGCAAATGGCATCGCAAACTTTTGTGGTTAGAACTATAGCTCTCAACCTGTGGATAGAAGCATAGTCTGTTGTTGGTACAACATGTGGCCTTGCTCCAAAACCATGATCAAGGTTTCATTTTTGTGACGCATCAAACTGGAACACCTTTATTTACAGTAAATAAGACCAATGTAAATCATGGCATCAGTAGTATGAGTTAACTGCAGAAAATGAACAACATGTAGAATGCAGTTTGATTTATGGTTTAGGGAACCATGAGAGATATACTGTATCATACTGTTCATCACAAATGTATATTAAAAAAAAAGGTTACACTTTATTTCGATAGTCCACTTTAGACATTCTAATAACTATAAGGAACTTTGTAACAAGGTTAAAAATTCTTGGTCAAAAGGCTTTGAAATTTTACATAGTGATGACATATCATTGAACAAAACACATTGTGGTCCGCACAAACCATGTGTATCTTCGCTGTATTTAATGCAGTCTGGGTTACATTTCTTAAGAAATGTTTCTGAGAATGCTTTGTATGCAGTGTCACATGAGTTTGCACCATTCACAGATAAGTGGAGGGGTACAATGGGAGCTGGAGAGAGCGATTCTAGTCCTGATTATGACTTTACCCGGGACACCCATCTTCAGATATGGAGATGAGGTCAATCCAGTTCAGGTGAGATGAGAAAACCATCTTCAATGTACCATTGCTATAGTTACAGTTTGAAATAACACTCTTTAAAATAAAGGATCTTTATTGGCATCTCTGGTGCAATGAAGAACCTTTAACATCCATGGGAACTTTCCATTGGACAAAGGGTTCTTTATAGTGGAAAAATGTTCATGTTCTTCACATTGAGGAAAAATGGTTCTTTTAAGAACTGTTCACTGAAGGGTTCTTTGAGGAACACAAAACAGGTCTTTATGGCATCACTTTGGAACCTTTATTTTTTTAGAGTTTAGGCCTTTTTTAAAAATCTGGTTGTCTGAATCTGAATGTTCATTTATTGTGGTATGATATTTCCATTCTCAGGATCTGGATCAGCTGAATCAGCCTCTAGCCCTCTTCCATTCTCTGAGTCAGTCACGTGCCCGTGAAGAGACTCTATCCTTCAATGCCAGCATGTCATCCTCTGGCTTCAATTCTACAGTCACGCCTCCTTTAGCTTTCCTGCGCTCATGGGGCTGCGTTCACTTCCTGGTCCTGTTTAATTTGGGTTCTGAACCTCACACTCTGGATCCAGACTGGGCTCCCTGCTTACCTGAAGGTGGGGTGTTTGTAACCAGCACAGGTCTTGACCGATTCGGCCCCGTGTCTCTAAGGTCAATAAAAATGCAGCCACACGAGGCCGTTGTCATAAAAGTGTTTGAATCTGACAACTCTTAAGACAAGGTTTGTGTTCGCTTATTAATACACTTATGATGTTTAGTTTTGGTTAGCTGTAACTAAGAGTAAGTATTCATTACAAGTAAATTAAATCGTGTCTGTTTACACTAAGTGCAAGTAGCCCGCCTTTTTGGCAGAGGCTATTTACACTAACTCAGTCCACCAACGTGTGGTAGGGTTAGACAACATTGCAAAAACCTATTAAAAAGCTGTTCCAGTGGAGTAGATAGTAAAGCATGTAGAAGAAATATACTCTTTGACCTGATCGACTCGAGTTCGAATCCCACTTTTGCCAAACTCGTTCTTCTCCCTTTTCACATCACATATCAGATCAGAAAGGCAATTATTTTCAATAAAAATGAAGGAAATAATCAAAAAACTGGAAAATAACATGCCTCATGGGTGTTTATCTGTTAAGGTTAGGTGTAGGGAGGGCTTTATTGTCCCAAAGCGGCATCCATTTAATAATTTTAATAAAAATGATTATTTACACTCAATACGTTATTGCATACTATAATTGGCACTACACTCTAAAAAAAATAGTGCTATATAGCATTAAAAGCGGTTCTTTGGCTTGAAATCATAGGGGGACCACTTTTAGTGCTATTTAGCACCTATTTTTACAGGTGCTATATAGCACCTTTGTCGAATGGTGCCATGTAGAACCATAAGAGGTGCTACATAGCACTTTTTCTCAACAATGGTGCACCAATCATAACTCATCCATGGCTCCCAGCATGCATTGCGACATGAATAAATTATGCAGCTGCATTGTCTTAGTATATTCTTTTATTCTTACTATTTGCTTTTATTTGTGTTGTGACTTTTTACTGCCCTGTTTTGTGATGTTCAAAAATCATATCAGAATATTTTGTCACCATTGCTGAGATTCACATGCTGATTCTTCATGTCTATGAGTGACAGAATTGAAAAATCTTTATAACCCATAATTCTAAAAGTGGTTTATACAATTTTCTCACATTGTCACGTAGTATCGTAGAACTGCAATAATATACAACTCATAAAAGAACTACAGATTTTGATAAAATGCAACCACAGACTCAGACGCATGAATTGATTTTACCATAAGTGCCTTGCCATCACATATGTGCTTTATAAACATTGTAACAGCCAATGGAAAACTTATTTTAAAATAAAATTAAAGTCAATGGTCAAGAGGCAACTAAAGCAAACACTATTCACCAAAACGGTAAGATGTAAAAAAAAAAAAAAACATCTAAACCTTAATTCTCAATAAAGAACTTCTGTTTTAGATACTCCAGAAATAAAGTCTGACTGGTTAGTAATGTGTGAAGTTGGTGTTGCTGTTTGTGGAGAGGTCCTTTTTTTCTGAGGTCAAAGGTTCCATGTGGGGGCCCTGGAATGTTTCCTTACGGGGGCCTTGGGGGCAAAAAAAAATTATATCTTCAAGAAATAGACTGTATTTTAATATTGTTTTAACCCTTTCCCCAACTAAACTAAGAGACTAAGAGAGAGTTAAGGAACCTTTAAAGAACTATACAGGGGCTTACAGGTTTTACGGTAGCACCTCATCGACTCCAAAGAACCGCTGAAGAACCGCTGAAGAACCATACAGGGGCTTAACAGGTTCTTTATACGGTAGTGGTGCTATATAGCACCTTAACCACTCCAAAGAACCGCTGAAGAACCTTTTTTTTTTAGAGTGTAGTAGCCTAGTATAAACAGCATGTAACTACTATTATTGCAATGGAAATACTCCTATTTTTTCATAATTTAAACAGAATCTATCGCTATTTGCACTTATTGTAAAAAATATATAGTTAAAAAATACTGCTATTTTCAATTAGTGTAAAAGGAACCCACTGATATTTGCACTTAGTGTAAACAATATATATTGCTATTTGCACTTAGTGCAAATAGCCGCTGCCAAATTAAAGTGGATAAATATTGGCAGTGGGACTGGAGTGCACTTTGTTTCTTTGCAAATAATCTATTAAAGAGAAACTAATACAAATTTAAATTAGGATGTTTTTTTTTTATTATGGACACTTTCACAGTATGTCCGGGGGTGGAATCTTATTCAAACAGATTCTAATTGTTTATTTTTATTACAAGATGGTTATATTACAATAGGAAACTTCTTATCCTCATGAGTTATAATAAGACATGATGTACATTATTATTACAATTTGATTGTTACAAAATTATTACAAAACTGCCTTCAATTTGAACATATTTTCAAATGTAATTGAAAACAATTGTGCTGCTTTTTTTTTTTTGTGTGGAAACCATGGTACATTTTTCAGGTTTCTTTTAGCTGAATAGAAGGCACAACAGAACAGAACAGCATTTATTTGAAATTATGAAAGTTTTTATGGTCACATTTGATCAGTTGCCGAATAATTTCATTAAGAAAAAAAAAATCCTTGTAACATATTCCTTATAAACACAATAATTTGCATTTCCAGTCAAGCTTTTTTCATGCTTTCTCCTAATGTTCCTGTTATCTCTCTGTTTTTGAAGCCTAACAATTGTCTGTTTGACCTGCATGCAGAGATCCTTTGACCGCATGATGTGGGTTCACAGCAACAGCTTCCAAATGCAAATGGCGCACTTAGAATCAACTCCAGACCTTTTACGTGCTTAATTGATGTAGAAATAACAAAGGAATAGCCCACATCTGTCCATGAAATGGCTTTTGAGTCAACCGTCCAATTACTTATGGTCCCTTGAAAAAAGGGGCAGGTACATATTAAAGAGCTGTAATTCCTTAACCTCTTCTCCAATTGTGATGAGAATACTATCACCTATGTGTAGCTTCAGTAATTTCACTTTAATGGCAATGAATAGATTCTTTTCATTGCCATTAAAGTGAAATAACTGGACATACGAGCCCTAGAAAAATGTAAATTTTTCAGACGACTCTTCATATATATTGTGAGAGAAAATCATAGCCATTGGTTCAATAACGTTTCAGGGATCGTAATACAGATGAGAACGGTATTAGCATTCAGAATGGAACAGAACACTCTGCTTTTTTTCATTTCTAATAAAGCCAGGGCAGAGGGCAAGACTTTCGTTATGGTTTCTCAGTAACTTTACACTTGACAGGTTATACATATGTGAAATTAATCAAATCAGATGTTCATAAATCAAATGTTGTGGCGGGAAGCAATTCCTCTGTGACAAACAACTCCAGTATGTCATCTGCAGATGATTACAGACGACAAAATTCAGTACATGGAAATAAATGACTTTTGATTTGCTTAACTTTCTGAGTCATATTACAGCACAGTGTTACGTATATTATAAACCAAGAAAAGGTTCAATTTCAGGCTGTAAAGAAACAGCTTTGCATTCTCTATACAAACAAGAAAAAATACTGTAGAATGTGACTGTAAAATAAATACAATATGTATTAAAAACTGTTAACAGGTTGTTATAATGTGAAACAGTTGCTCAGCTATACAAACAGTCACTGCATACACAAGTTCTGACACGTCTAGTGCATGTTGTGCATTAAGTGCTCAGTGAGATCCGTTTTGAATTATTCCTTCACTCTGCCGTTCCAGACCGAACGTTAATCCAGATTTACCCTGTAAATCAATATCACTTTGAAATGAAACCGTGTTTCTACAAACATGCATGAGGCTAGAGGCTCAGTTCATCATTCACAGATTCTCAGATTTTACTGACCCAATACATGTCCTTAAACCAATTACACATCCTTATTTGGACTTATTAACCAAAATGAAATAGGAATTTGTTTACGATGTTTCCAAAATGCTGAAACGTATTTGGCCTGTAAGCGTCATCATCCTCTGACCCAGTCGATCATTTTTGTCCTCTGAATTTCTCAGATTATACATGCAAGTTTTGAGTGGATATTAAGAGAGATGCCAAATGCTTGGAAACATATTTCTATATACAATATTCATATAAAATATGAGAAATGAAACTTTGACAAGTCTCTGATTATTGCATCTTCTGCATTACAGTTGACCCCCAAAATAATGTTCACATAAAGCATGAAATAGCATATGTCATGCCCATTTTTGTATTTACACAAATTGTGTGAAAAATCGGGAAATATAATTGTTAAAATAAACATCTATTTAATAAACGCTACATGTTAAAAATAAATCTGTGCAAAACCTACAATCTGATTTGTTTATTAAAAACATGCCTTTAATGTCTTTCCTTTCATAACAAAGTCCATAATCAAATCTAAAAATCTACAGATAAAACAATCAATGTCATAATGGTTTTTCTGGATTTCAGGAGGTGTGGAGGAGTTTTGGTTTTGATTTGGTTTTGGGTGGGCATACAAGCTAATTTAAAATTAAAATTGGCGTTTGCTAAAACATCATTTTAATAAGATTCATCTTTTTGAATTATTTTAACAACATGTATTTTGAATTTCACTTTGAATATTTTAAGTTTCATGTGAGATGGAGCAAAACAGCATGACAATCTATTAGGAAGGAAGAATAATGACTTACACTTTCATCCCTGTTATATTCTTTCCATTAACTGTGTTTCAAGTTGGACACATATCAAAGAATGAACAATCTGGATTGTGGTGTCAATGACAGTGATGATTTTTGTTGGCACTCTACACATTTCCAAACAATGAGACTGATCTCTGATTCATTTACTAAATCTGTTTTCAATTGATTTGAAGGGAGTTAACAGTTTTAGTGAATGAGATAATACACGTGTTCAAAACAGAGTAATAAATCATATTGTTCACTGTGGAATTTTTTATTCAGATGATAGATTTCTCAACCACTTTTTTAGAGGAAAGACCCATATGGTTTAGCAAATGTAATACTCAGCACCAAAGAAAATTTCATATATATTTTAAATAAATATGCATCATAAAAAATCTTCCATTAATCTGCACCTCATGACCTAAATGACGCTATGAAGCAAAAGAAGCCTGTCTGAACAAAACCAAGAGTTTATGAGACACATTTATAGGTGATTTTTGCCTTGAGTGTGTTACTAATAGAGTG